CAGGGCAAAAGCTTAGTGCAGCCGAAACCCTTAATTAGGCGCTGCCGGCAGCTCTAGCTGGGTCTGCGTCAGAAGACGCAGCGTTATCGGGTGTCACACCGTAGACATGCAGTGTTTGCGACAGCTGTTCCTCTGTGGCACGCCTGGCCTGGGGCAGGCAGGTGTCTGTGTTGGACCCTCAGCTCCTGGGCAGATAGCAGAGAAAGGCTGTGTCCAGCTCCTGTGGGTACCAGGTCACTGAGATGGATGACGCTCCGTGGGAAGTCGGGGCCCGTGACTAGGGACACATACTGTCGTCCCCCCCCCCCCCAATTTTATGTATACACACTGGCACCATATACTAGGTGTAAGCTTTGTTTTGTTTTTTCATTCCTCATTTTAATATCTCAGGCTAACATTCCTCAGTTGGGATGTGATGGTTACTATTTTTTAAAAATATATTTTTATTGATTTCAGAGGAAGGAAGTGGGAAAGAGAGATAGAAACATCAGTGATGAGAGAGAATCATGGGTCCGCTGCCTCCTGCACTTGCCCTGCTGGGGTTCGAGTCTGCATGTGCCCTGACTAGGAATCGAACTGTGACTTCCTGGTTCATAGGTCGATGCTCAACCACTGAGCCACACTTGCTGGGCATGTTATGTTATGGTTACTATTGCTGCATAACAAATTATCCCAAAACATAATGACTTAAAACAAACATTCCATTTTGCTCAGGCTGCCTGGCCTGACCTCGTGGAGCTGGAGACAGCGGTGGTGGTGCAGGGACGGGCGTGGGGCTTCTCTGGGGCTGGGATCGTCCCCTCCCCTTTGCTGGCTGGGAGGCACCCCGACTCCCTGCTGGGACCCCTTATAACTGACCGTTGCTAATTCTGGGCCCTGGCGTTTGGGATAGTGGAGGAGAAGCTTTCTCTCCGTCTCACACATGCGCTGGTGAGTACGTTTTCCGCCTGATTTTTATTTCCTGTGAGCTTGATTAGCGTGATGTAGCTGATCCTGCTAAGGTTGACTCACCGTCGGGAGTGAGAGAACTCGAGGCCGCTTCCTGGCATGTGGTGAGTTTGCCAGCTCAGGCCGTGGTGAGCCTTCCCGTAAACAGCCTCAGGGGCACCATGCTTCTCCCCCCGTTTAAAATCTGGGCATTCTTTTCTCGGCCCTTAGACGCGGGGGTGGACTCGGGCTGGAGGTCCTGACGTGCCCATTAGGGGAAGGACCTCCGCGCCTGTGTGGGTCCCCGGGGGCTCCTGTGGCAGAGAACCCCAAACTGGCCCTTTAAAAAGTAGACGTTTATTGCCTCGCAGTTTTGGAGGCCAGAGGGGCACGATCAGGGTGGCAGCAGGCCACACGCCCTCTAGAGCCTGGGGAGCCCTCCCTCACCTCTTCTGGTGGCTCTCAGCAGTCCTGCTGCCTCAGGAGGACACTGTCATGGGGCTTCGGGCCCACCCCGATCCAGGACGACCTTATCTAACTAATTACAGACCTGCTTCTAAGTAAAGCCACGTTCTGAGGTTCTGTGACTTTGGGTAAACACTCCTCAGCCACGGTGCCTCCTGAAATTGGAGAAAGCGCTCGGGTGGCAGAGCCCTAATAAAAGGAGTAACTGCAGCACAGACCACGGAGGCCCTGGTGTGCGAGTGCGCGAGCTGTGAGAGGCCTAGAGGAGCTTGGTTATCGTCAGGGGACACCTGGTGGCAGCAGGGCTCACAGTGCTGTCTACTGGTCCGATCCCCGAAGGCACCATTCCAAACCGGAACAGCTCCCCGCCCCGCCCGCCCGTGGATCGCCTGCCTCCTAGTTGAGATCACCCCACAGCACTGCTTGCAGATGGGCCTGTCCCCAGCCCCTGCTGTCCCTGCTGTGTGGCCGCCTGTCCCCTGGCCCAGGGCCCTCACAGCTTAGGAGCTTCCCATGGACACCGGTGATGATTCCAAAGGCTCCTTTTCTCCGGTTCTCTCCTGTGGGCTGCTCCACCATCATTCCAGTCAGCCCCCAAGTCATCGCCATCTTGGCGTTTGTGCACCCACCTCCCCAGTGGGGACACAGCACTCTCCTGGCGCCCTGACTGGACCGGCCACTGAACCGTCTTCGGTTGGGTTAACCCGTGACGCAGCCTGTGTCGGTTTCTTTCTGTCCTCCCTTCTCAGTCGGAGGATAATCATGTCCCCTCCTGGTCCCCGTTCACTCATAGCAGACCCGGCGGCACATTCTGCAGAGTAAGCCCACCCCCTAGGCAGAAACTGCCTGTCTCCCCTCCACTGGGCCAGCCCCTGGGTGCTCGGGCTGCACCGGAGCAGAGCACCGGGAGCAGGAGAAGGGAGCCAATTGCCTGGGTGCCTGGCGGGGGAGTCAGATGGACGGGGGTTCCAGGGCCAGGCCCGCCGCTCGCTGACCGTGTTCTCACCTCCCGAGCCCTTGTTCTGTGAATTGTCAAGTGTCTGCAATTGGACCTAAAACCATATACTTTGAAGTTATTGTAAAAACTTAGTGAGAATTCCAGCGCCAGGCCGGTTCACTGTGATCGTGGGCAGAATCCACGGCACGTGGACAACACGTGGCGGTCGATGGCACCGTGACGATTCGGGAAAATGGGCCCTAAACCACGTGACCATAATAATGCCTCTCCCACCAGGTGGTGTGCTTTTCTAGAGCGTTCCTCACTTTCCTGCTCTTTCTCCACCTCGGAGGGAGAATTATTCTTCCTTTTCAAAGTTGATCATCTCTGTGCTCTGTCCCTTCCCACCTGTGTCAGAACTTACATGCTCCATCTCTTCATCTCTGTTGGCTGCCTTCCCTCAGCCCCCACTTCTCAGACACGTCTGAGATCATCAGTCCAGCAGATGTCTTCTACGCACGACCGCGCGTTGGGTACCAGGACATGATGGGCAGAGAGCACACTCCCAGTTCTGCTCCTCCGGCTCAAGCAAGATAGTGACCAAACCCTTCGCAGGGTCTGCTCTGGCCTTGGCCCAGCCCTTGTCCCTCGCCTGGGGCCCTTCGCCTCTGATCTCAGCTCACCAGCTCATCTCCCCGTTGTCCACGTCCCAGTCCTCTCCACCTCACGGAGGGAGCACAGCTCACCTAGTCGCCTCCTCTGACGGTTTCCTCAGGGAGACCTCCTGCCCCTCTCTCCCCTTTTGGGGAGATTCCTCTCATCCTGTAGATTCACCCGCATCTTTGTTCTGAACACTGACTGGGTCTCTAATCCACGTCTGGGGTGTAATTACTTGACCGTCTTTCCGCTCTGCCCTAAGCTCTGGCAGGGACTGTGACGGTTTCGCTCGTAGTTCTGTGCATGGCCCAGTCTCATCTGTCTGGTGGGAGGAGGGGCGGGAGGGAGTGTCTGGCAGGAGCCGCTCAGGTAGAGAGAAGTAAACTGTGTGTGTCTCCTGCGTGGAGCAGAGCAGGACAATGGAGTTAACCCGTGTGCGAAGAGGGTGCAGATCCAGTGTTAGCTCACAGGGGTGGGTGCAGGTGTGAAGTCATCAGCCAACACCTCCAGAAAGAGGAGCAGGCACTCGCTATGCAGATGAGGAAGGAAATGGGATTCAGGCCGAGGGAGGGGAAGGGCTTCTGCGAAGCTGTGAAAGAACCAGTGCCGTGAGCGAGGCAGGTGTGACTGGGGTGGGGGGGCGTGTGGACGGGCTGACAGCGGCACACAGGTCCTGGAGGCTTCCGCTTCCTGTGGAATCGAGCGTGTCTGGAAGGAGCCAGAGGTGGGCTTGCATTTTTAAAAAGACTTAACAACTGGAGCTCCCTCTGAAAAACTGTTGGGCACTTTCTTACAAGGTTAAACATACACCTGTCCCGTAAACTGGCAATTCCACTCCCAGTTACTTACCTGAAATTGGGAAAAAAAAAATGTATGTATATGTATATATATTCCTATATAATAAAAGGATGTGGATGTAAATTAACCATCCCTCCGCTACGCTCACCATCCCTCCGCTACACTCACCAGCCAATCAGAGTGGATATGCAAATTAACCTGACAAAGATGGCGGGTTAATTTGCATACACAGGACCGGGCAGCTGGGGCGGGGCAGGTACTTCCCCCGCGTCGCCATGGTGATGCTGGGGAAGTTCTGGCCCCGTGGCTGCTTGCGCGCGCCAGCACCAAAAGGCCTGTGTTCCCGGGACAGGCGTCCTCGGGAGCCAGGCCACCCTGAGCCTGTAGGCCGGCGCCTAAGCCCGAGCGGCCGGGGTCCCGGAACGTGAGAGGGTGCACGTTGGGCTGAGGGGACTTCCCGCCCCCCGCACGAATCTCGTGCACCGGGCCCGAGTGTATATAGAAGACTTACACAAAAATGTTCATGACAGCTTTTCCATAAGAGCCAAAGCTGGAAGCAATTCAAGTTCCCATGAGCAGGTGAATGAACATATAAATTGTGGGATTTCCATAGAATCGGGTGCTACTCAGCCACATACTAGTAAGGAGCAAAGTGCTGATCAATGCGGACGCCTGATGAATCTCAAAGAGTCCAGACACAAATAAGCCACGTGGTGTGACTCCACTTACATACAGTGTGAGAGCAGGCAGAGCTGACCTCTGGGAACAGAGGGAGGGGCTCCGACCTTTCCTCACTGAGACCCCAGAGGAGGAGAGGAGGCCGGGAGGAGAGGAGAGGCAGCGTCACCAAGTGGAAACAGGAATGGGAGACAGAAACGGGGGACACTTGAGATTTTGGAGACAAGCCTTATCATTGAGATTCCTGCGGCTGAAACATAAAATTACCCGGTTTCCTGAGGCACTGCTGGTGGGAAGAGCTGTGGATTAAACGTCGGAGAGCCTGGGTCCATGCTGGCTCGTCTGCCCTCTGTGTGTGACAGGAAGGTCGCTGTCACTCGCGCCTGTTTCTTCATTGCAGGAAGAGAGAAGTCCTGCCTGTTGTCCCCCAGAAGATAATCTAGGGTCTGTCCAGCATTATGGTGAGGGACTTCCATTTTTAGATGGCCCGAGTGTAATAATTCCTCTGCAATTGTCTGTTTTCAGGTGCCGTACGTGTGGGCCTGGGAGGACTCACGCTGGGACATGCTGACCACAGGCTTCCAGGCGGCCGAGCCCCACTAGACCCCAAGGAAACCGTGGCTCTGGCTGCGCCTCAACATGAGCAGCCCACAGTAAGTCCAGCCCACAGTAAGTCCAACCCACAGTAAGTCCAGCCCATAGTAAGTCCAGCCCACAGTAAGTCCAGCCCACAGTAAGTCCAACCCACAGTAAGTCCAGCCCACAGTAAGTCGCACGGGGCTGCTCCTGGCACGGAGCTGGCACGCAGTCAGCTGCGGGCGCCGTGGCTCCTTCCAGCCCTTTGGGGACGGAGACTCCAGGTGGCCAGCTGCACTGCCTGGCGTTATTGTTTATTTTTATTGCTTTCAGAGAGGAAGAGAGAGAGAGAAACATCACGATGAGAGAGAATCATTGATTGGCTGCCTCCTGCACGCCCCGCACCAGGGATCGAGCCCCCACCCTGGGCATGTGCCCTGACCGGGAATTGAACCTTGACCTCCTGGTTCATAGGTCAACGCTCAACCATTGAGCCACGCCGGCCAAGCAGAGCCAAATATTATTAATCTCAGAAACTCAGTCCCCCAGGAATACCCCACTGGTCAGAAAGCTCTGTTTGTTTAGTTCATAATCCATAGTTTTCTTGGGACCCGCAGAGAAGAACAGACTCAACCCAGAACCTCCTTTTTTGAAAACATCTGGAAGAGCTGGGTCCCCCATAAACGTCCACTGGCCGCCTGTGGCTGTGCGGTCTGAGGACCTGGGGTCATTTTGTAAATGCCTCGCGGTGAGGAGCGAGGCTGCCTGTGCTGACGGAGCAAACGCAATGAAACAGACCCACCAACAGGAGTCGGGCCTGGCAGCTGCCTGGTGAACCCGGGCGGTTCGGGCAGCTCCCTGTGGTGTTCAAATGGAAACCCCACTGTTCCCTCGGTTACCCGGACGATTCGAGCAGAAGAGAAGCAGGCGGGTTCGGCTCTAAGCTTCCTGGGTAGCTGCCGCTGAGCGCTGCTGGTTAGTTCACGGTGGGAAGAGCCCTGAGCGCCAGAGCTCCCCAGTGCAGGCCCGTCGTCCTCCGGGGCCCCTCCTCCGCGGCCTCTCCTCCGCGGTGGGCGAGGGCCTGCACGGAGGGGACTGCCTGTCGCCCCCAGGCCTGCCGCCCGAGGAGGACTTTCCGAGGTGGAGATCATCTCCCAGCAGGGGGACGAGGAGACCAAGAGCGTCGCTGCGGGGCAGCTGGCGAGCTTTGCGTATCGGGACTTGCCCCTGGCCCCCGTCGACCTCTCCGCGGCGGGCTCGCAGCTCCTGTCAAACCTGGACGAAGATTACCAAAGAGAAGGGTAGGTGCTGGGGCACGCAGAGGGCCGAGGTGCTGAGTGGGGGGACCACGCAGGCCCTTTCCCCGGGGAAAAAGGCTCTGGGCTTAGAAATACCTGCCGTTGCTAGACCAGCGTCTCACGTCGCTTTGGCTCGGACGTCAGAGAAAGCCACTGGGTGAAGTTTAAGGATTGACATTCTCCCTAAGGACCCACCCAACCGCGCTCTGGGGACCAGGACCCGCAGGGAGCAGGGCCGCCCAAGGTCACCGAGCCCCTAAGGAGTGGACTTGGGCTGCATGCCCTTGGCCAGCCAACTCTGCTTTGAATCTAAAATGAAGGTTGCTGGGCTGTCTTAGGAGCTAGTGAAAAGTATTGGTTAGAGTTACATTTTTACAGCTTGGGTCCCCTCTTTTGTTTTCCAAACAAAAAAAAAAATGTTTTCCCGAGAGAAATTGCCCAACAAAATGTTTTCCCGAGAGAAATTGCCCAACAGTTGTGAAACCTTTTATGAAAACGCCACCCAGTGGCTTTCTCTGAAAATACAATTTGCTCTGAGTGCTGTGCATAGATTCAGCAGGAAAAGGGCCAGGCAGGTGTGAGAGCGAGGGGGTGCTGCCCTCTGGTGGTCACAAGCGGCAGTGCAGCCTCAAGCCTTTAGGGTCCAAGTATCTCCCAACAGGAAGGCCTTGAAGGATGCTGGTTGGGCAAGGCCCATGCCTGCAGCCTGTGGGGCCTGCAGCCTGTGGGCGTCGGGTCGGGAGGAGGCAGAGGCCCAGCCTTAGCATCACTGCATTTGCTTCTGAACTGGGCCTCTGCAGAGGCTCTTCCATCAGGAGAGTACAGATGAGGGGCCCACAGGGCAGAGGCTCTAGGTTTGACCTGAGCGTCCAGGTGTGCCAGGAAAGCTGCTCCTGGCGGTGGCAGTGCTGTGGGCAGCGGAACGGCACCAGGTGTCTGACCTCACCGGTGGTCAGACCAAACCTGGGTTCAGCAACCTTGGTACTGGGTTCTGGCTGGGAAAGCATTCAGAGGCAGGCCCCACCTGTAAAGAGAACATTTACTTGGTAGATCTCCCAGTTCTAGAAGCAATTCCTGGGAGAAATGGGCTTAGGAACCAGTTATAGAGGTAAAGGAAGGGCCGTTGGAGCTTGGGAGTGAGGGAGCTCATGGTCACGTGCCTGGGGCGGGGAGGGAGAGGGGAAGGGAAAGGCATGGGCAGGCGGGAGAGTGCCCTGGGCCCCCGTCCTGAGGGCTTTAAGGGTGGAGATGGTGGGGGCCCCAGGGAAAGATCTCAATAGAATATTCTGCAGTTTCCCAGGTGTGTCCTCTCAGGGTGGTGGTCTCCACTGACTGGCTGGCACCAGGGCAGGGGTCAGGATTCGGTACAGCGGGCCCTGACCAAGGCGGTGGCTGGTCTTGTGTTTCTCTGTCTGGGCCAGGAGCTGAAATACAACTTGAGGCGCAGATGTTCTCTCTCGGGAGGGAAGGTCAGGGGCCCACACCACCCGGCCAGGCTGTGCTTGGGGGGAAGAGTCCCTACAATTGATTGTCCACGGCTGGGCACCTGGCTTTCCCCTGGTGACTCTGTACCTGCTCATCATCCTCGTTCTGCTCACGGCTGCCACACAGAATCAGTGGGTGAAGGGATTTGTCTCGCTGCGGGCTCTGCGGGGCTCACTTGGCAGCCTGAGAGCTTCCCGGAGGAAGGAAGAGCAGGCGCAGGAGGGAAGCCAGGGAAGGGGAAGCGAAGCAGAAGCTCGCTGCGCGGCCTGGGGGAGTGCCTCTCCGCATGCGGAGGCTTCTGGGCTCTGCTGCATCTCCCAGGGCGTCCCCACATCCCCACCTGCCTGTCTGATGCAGAGCACAGGGCGCGCAGTTCTGCTTGGTCTCTGCAAAGCTTCAGTGGAATTCTTGTCAGACACCCCTCTTCCTGCTGGATCTTTCCCGCAGGAAACGAGGCACTTCAGGGACCCTGCGCCCCACCATTCACTTCCCTTCAGTTTTAAAGTTTCCCAGAACCTCAGAACGTTGGAGCTGGAGCACAGCTCCGAAGTGTCTGGTCTCAATATTCTGCTAGGACAGCAGAGTCCCGGTGTGGGAGGAACTTGCCCAAGGTCACACCGTGACAGAGACATGCAGAGCCCCACCCCTGGCCCCTGGTGCAGGCCACGCCACGCCACGGCTTCCCTTGTCACCGTCCCTTTCCAGCGCCTCATGTTGAGACCGTGGTTAACATGCACTGAGTGTGGGATGCCACTGCTGGCCACACTGTCCAGTGCCTGCCCCCTTGTGTCCACCCAAACCCGTGATGGGCAGGCACTGGTGGGGGCAGGGGGGCACCACCTGGTCAGGCTCCTTGACTGTGGACTGTGCCTCTGGCGCCGGGCCAGGCTGCGGGGCCCGGGGAGGAAAAGAGAGACAGCCATGGGGCTCCAGCTGCCGTAACAAAGACCACAGACCCAGTGGCTTAAACAACAGAAACTTGTTTTCTCCCAACTCTGGAGATGGGACGTGAGAGCAAGGTGCTGACGGGCGTATGGTGAGGGCTCTGTCCGTGGCTGCACACGGGGGACAGAGTGACTCCCAGCCGCGTCTTCCTCTTCTTACCAGGGCACTCGTCCCAGCCCGGGCCCGCTCTGAGCTCATCTGAACCTACTTGCCTCCCAGGGCCCCGCCTCCAACGCCATCACATCCAGGTGTCGGGCTTCAGCATGGGAATATTCGGCGGGGGGAGGGGGGGGGGTACAGACATTCAGTCCAGAACAGCACCTCCCAGACTTGGGTCTGCAGTCTCACCTGCTTCTCAGTCCTCGGCGGTCCTGGTTCACGGTCCCTCCTGGTCCAAGGGTCTGTTTCAGGTCCGCTCCACTGTCCTGAGCCCCGTTGTCCCCCACAGACGACCTCCTCTCCTCTGAGGTAGACACAGGCCCCTTTCAGGGCGCTCCTCCCCTCCTCCCACCTCCACGAGCTCTCATCAGGGCAGTGGCACCGTCTCCTTCATGGCCGGGCCTCCCACGGTCTCCCTGTACCCGTCCTGGTCCAGGTAGCTGCCACCACCTTGCTCTTCCTCTGCAGCTAAACTCCACAGCCTCACGGACACGTGCCATGTCCCCCAGCCCCTCCCCTTTGCCCCTCAGTCCCTGCCGTCTAGCTTCAGCCTCGTCCACCCGTGGGAAGGCCTCTCCTGCCGCCATCAGCCTGGTGGTGTAGGACCCCTGGTTGCCCTCTGAGCGAGCCATGTGTCCGTCCAGTCTCCATCCAGAGTAGATCTCCCGTCTGCCTTTGGAGTCTCGTTCTAATCGGGAAAGGCCTGGAACGCGCCTGCCTTCTCAGCCGTTTTGGCAGGAGCTCAGTCGACCTGACTCGTGCACTCGATGCAGTTTGACTTGTGCCCCGTCTCGGCCTGGCTTTGTGCTTTCCCGTAACCAGGCTCTGGTCCTCGTTCTTTGGCGTTGGACATCACCCCATTCATCGGGGGAAATGGGGGCACAGGGCTCTCCTCAGGGACCCGCCACCCACCTGGGAGGAGGGACACTGGGTTTGCGGGAACCTACCTCCTGGTGCAAACAAAGCTGCACCTTCTCTCCGCCTGGTCGGCGTGCGGGTCTGGGCTAGACGAGAGGCCGCCCGCGGGAAAGGCCAGAGAGGCCGCGTCTCTGCCGGGAGCCGCACGGCGGGAGAGAGGAGGACAGCCAGGTCGGGGGCAGCGAGCCCCAGAGGTTCATGGCGAGTAGTGGGGGGGAGGTCTGTGTCAAAATGCATAAGTCAGGAGTGAAAGATAATCGGCCTTTGACATCATTTACAGTTTAGGGTTCTCAGAGGTCTCACCGTGAGGCCCCACACGGGAAGCTGGAGGGAGGCCGCTAGACAAGGGCTGCTGTCCCTGGGGTGAGGCGGGGCATTCTGCCGGAGCGTCAGTCAGAGGAGACGACGGGGCACAGGGGCGGCATGAGGCGTCAGGCTGCAGAGTCAGGCCCAGGATAGCACATCTTCGTAAGCAAAGACTCACGTGACTGCAGAGCTGCCGGCAAAGGGGGCGTGGAGGAGCCTCCGAGCTGGAGCCCCGAAGCCCTTGGCTTCCCCTGTTGTCTTGCTTGAGGACCAGCGTCCCCTCCCCGCCTCCCTGCCTCCCCGCCTCCCCCCACCCCTGGGCTGCATCTGGGCTCTCAGGTGGGTCTGTCCCAGCACCGGCCAGGGGCTCCCGAGGACAGGGGTCAGCTCCTGCGAGCCCGGGACGGGGTGTTTGTGAGGGAAGGAAGGACTTGCATGAATGAGTGGGTGGGGGAGGCCATGTTACGATGAGGATTAGAAGAGGGGAAGCCAGTTCCTTTGGGGAAGTCGGGGGCTGGCCCCAGACCTGCGTGGAGTCCAGGGAGAGCCACGGGGGACCCGGCTCTGGGACAGAACTCAAGGCCTTGGTCCTGGCGGGCCCGCCTCTGAGCTAACTCCACACCCTCCACAGTCATCCTAAAGAGAGAAATCACTTTGCCTCGGGACTCGGTACAGTTTTAGCATCTTTTTAGGAGAAGGAAAAGCCTTTTGTGGTTCAGGATTAAAAGGCAGGTTCGTCCCTGCCATGACCTTTTGCAGTGTTAAGCCTGGACGTTCCTGCCTCGTGAAATCTTTGCGTCATTTTCCCCCACAGGAGAAAGAAGTTAAAAATGAGCTTTATTAGTCCGTTCTCTCGATGTCCCCGGACCCATCTGTAAAAGCACAGCCCTTCCTCTGGCACCCGGTGCCCTGGGCTCTGGGCTGACCCTGGGACCTCCACCCTGTGTGTTTTTAGGAGGCGCAGGCTTCCAGGGGGTTCTTGACGCCACACAGAGGAAATAAAGATTCAATTCAGAGCACAAGTTCCTTTCTGATAAGCACAGGTTAGCCTCTTTCTCAGAGTCCAAGAACTGCAAAGATTTCTCACTGACTAAGAAGGCAGTAAATTCACAGATACATTATTTTTCAGCACAATAAACCCCGTGTCCCCACTTCTCCCAGGATGGGGTGTACACCCGGGCCACCACTGGGTGGCAGCAGAGCCCCTCTGAGCGCTGCCTGGAGGAGGGAGGGAGAGCAATTTAAACTTACGGTCAGGTCCCCCAAGGAAAGTGAGCTGAATTTACGGGGTTCTAGAGCCCCCAGTCATCTTCGGAGGCACCTTGGATCTGGACTTTGGCTAAACAGGAGGGGGGAGCGTGGCCAACCCCGGATTTGCCGAACTACAGCTGAGAACAGAGAGCTGGGCAGAGAAGCGCGTTTGCCTGGGAACTAGCCACTGGCTCCCTCCCCAGCCACCCACCCCCTCCTCCAGGCAGCCCTGCCAGGCACAGGGAGCCTCAGGCGGGACCAGTTCCCAACACTGAGGACTCAGAGGTGGGAGGCGGCCTCATGGCCAACTTGATCCAGCAGCACCGTTACCTCCTGGGTCAGGCTTGAACCCGAGGCAGCTTTTCAGAGCTGTGTGGGCAATGCCCTGAACCCCCACACGGTGCGTGTCGGCCATTGCACCCCCAGAAGGGGTTTGGGGGCTCGCCCCCGAGTGGGGTGGCAGCTCCTACCTCCTGGCCTGAGCTCGTCATTTCTGAGGGTGCAAGAAGCCTGGATTCTGGGACAAGCGAATGTCAGACTCCGTGACCCAGCAGCACCGGCTTTGCTTCCTCCCCCCTCCCTCCCTCCTCCCCCGGTGCAGGGCTGACCTATAGCTCTGATTGCAGAACCAAGAAGCTGCTCCTATGGAAACTTTGTTTCTCCAGTTCCCCCAAGGGCTGTGAGAGTCACCTCTCACCTCCAGCTGGTGGGTCCCTGTTAGGCACGTGTGCCGAATTCCTGGGCCCGTGTGTGCTGCTGGGCCTTCCTCCTGGACATGGGCACAGGGACAGGGCTTCTGCTGTGGTCAGGCTCTCCCCAGGAGAGTGCGAGAGAAGCCCACCCCAGGCAGACACTCAGCGCAGGGGCCCTGTGGGCGCTGGGCCGCTGGTTCTCACAGGTGGATACTTGTCTGTTCGGAGAAGTCCTACGTGTGAGCTCATTCCCTCTCCTGCTTCCCCTTTATTTCTGTGCTTTTCACGAGTTGGGCTGGGACCGGGGCCCATTGCACAGTCAGAACCCACTCGCAAGGCCGCAGGCTCCGTGAGGGAAGGCGCTCAGCACCCAACACAGCGGGGCGTCTAGTGGGCACTTAGTAGTAACTGACCGTATGCGGCTGGAGTGACTGTCGACACCTCCCATATGTAGGTAATTCACCCTTTTCTGAGGCCCGGTACCCCCATCCTCACAGGAGGTGTATGTGCTAGTTGCTTAGTAAGCACCGTGCTCTGGTTCACATACGTTGTTTGTAATATTCTAGAACAACAGCTGCAAAGGTGGGTGATGCTGCTCCCAGTGCGAGGTTAGGAAACAGGCTCCAGGGTTGTGCTCAGAGGCCTCAGTCACGGGGCTGCTGTTTGGAGACACCAGTTGCCACCAGATGGGAAAGATGGGGAACAGATGGGAAAGTCAAGCTGTTCCCCAGGGTGTTTGTCAACAGGAAGGAGTTGAAGGAACTGTCTTTTCAAACAGCTCGATGAGGTGACGTTTGTGAAGTGCTCGGGGCAGCTCCTGGCCCGTCCCAAGTGAGGCCCAGGTCAGGGGCAGACGCTGGATTCCAGTCAGCGCCATGGCTTCCTCGGGCAGCTCTAATCCTGTGGCATAAACACAGCAACGGACAGTAAGCGGGGCCTCGGGATGTTCTGCTCACAGCGGAGACTCCACCGAGCCTGTGCGTCCAGGCCCGTCAGCATCAGAAGCGGAGCATTTGGGGACGTGGGGTCTTGACTCCGTCCCAGGTTTGCACTTGGGTCCAGGTGTGCTCAGCTGACCCATCGGTGAGGCCAGGCGCCCACACACTCCTTGGGGCGTTGGGCACAGCGCTGTGATGGTGTGCATTTTGGGGGGCGGGTGCAGGGCTGTAGTTTCCGTCCCTGTGGGAGAGCTTTGCAACCAGAAGGGTCCTAGCCTCTGGCCCGGCAGTGCCGCCATGGTCAGCGCCAGGCAGGAGGCCAGCGGTGCTCTGGACCTCATTCCATGCCTGCGGCCAGACAGCTCCGACTCCCTGGGACCCCTCCCTCGTTCCTTTGGGGACCTGAGGGGCGAGCATCTCAGTGCAGGGCTGACAGGGCTGTCTGGCCTGGCTGCCTACAGGGCAGTGGGCTTTGCTGTGGCCCCCTGGGGACCCATGGCTGCACTGCCTGTGAGCACTTGCTGGGACGACTTGAGGGTCTCCATAGTCCCCCCAGTTACTGCTCCCCCCATCGCTCACCCTTCCCCTTGGATGGCCTGGCAGCCACCGAGCCGGATCACGCAGCTCTGCTGTGCGGGAGCCCAGGCCCCACTGGAGCCAGCGCAGCCCTGCCGTCCAGAAAGGGCTCGTTCAGCACCGGGTGTGGGACGCTGCCTGACAGAGCAGTGACCTGGAGCCACCTCTTCAGGGCCACTCCCGTGGCCTTGCCTCACACGAAGGAGCCTTCAGACGTTTGCCAACGTTCATTTTAATATTCTAGAGCCATTCTTTCAAGCTTTTACCGAGACTCCTAAGCATATAACACAGAGGCAGTCACGGCCCGCGGCCCCTCCCCCCAGGATTTCTCTGCAGCCTCAGAAGTGACTGGGGGAACCGCACATGGAACACGGCCCACCTGCCGGACATGCCATCTGCTCCTCCGTATTTCGGCCTTGGCAGCCCCAGTGGCCTCCTGGCGCTGCCCTCCTGCTACAGGAGATAGAGACTGGGACACGCCTGCCCTCTGGTGGCCGCTCCGGGGCAGCACCACCTGGGCACCGGGCTCCGGGGTTGGATGGGCTGGTGCTGAAGCGGTGGGAGAACGTATCTTCAGGAATGAAGTCAGCACAGGCCCAGGTTGTGGGCTGCGTCCCGTGTGGACGTGCGGGAGGCAGCCGACCCATCGTTCTCTCTCATCACGGATGTTTCCATCTCTCCCTCTCCCTTCCTCTCGGACATCAACAACAGCAAAAGGATTGAAGTCAGCCTGGCCGGTGGCTCCATTGGTTGGAGCATCGTCCCGTACACCAATGCACATTGATGTTTCTCTTTCTCCCTTCCTCTCTCTCTAAAAAGGAAAAAGCAAAAATAAGAACAAATCCTCGCGTGAGGATTAAGAAAAAATTGCAGTCAGTGCGATTTCCCTTTGGGCCACTGAGCTCCTTGAGTCGCTGTTTAACCACTTGGATATTGGGAAACGGGACACATCTGCTTTTCTGCTAAAACACCGTTTCCTCGGAATGTCGGACTCTCCTGAATCTCAGAGGACATTTTGTTAGCAGTTTGCAATTTCCAAACACCCGGTCAGCCAGACGTCTGCTCCTTCCGCTCGGCTCTGTGCTGGAGCCTCGGTGCCCGCGGTCGGTCCTGCTCTCCAAGCTGCTGCAGCCGAGGAGGCCTCAGCATCCAAACAGCCTGGCTGCTCAACGCGCTGCCGTCCTGGAAAGCGACCTCACAGTGCCCTTTTACTGATAACTGCAGCGGTGCTTGGCTCACACTTCAGGTGGCAGCGAATCTGCGTCAGTTTTAGGGGCCACGGACCATCAGACTGGGGTGAGAGGGTGTGGAGTTGGAGCTGGGTCGCCTTTGAGACCTGCAGTGCCTGTGGCCATGGGAGGAGTTGACAGGAAGCCAGGGAAGTGCTGAGCTGGGGCCTGGGTGAGAGAGGTGTGAAGGATTAAAATAGGCCCCAGGAAGGGGCAGGAATGTCACCTTGTGGGATGAGAAGGAGGGGGAGTAGGTGAGACACGGATGGATCAGCAGAGCAGGTCAGCTGAGCAGTGACAGCCAACTTCTCACAGTTCACGGTCTTTCGTGCACAAAAGCAGCTCAGCTGATAGCACCCGTGGGCGGGCACCTGGCTTCCCTGGGCCTCTGTCCAGGTGGGCAGGGCTGCCCCTCTGAGCTGGAGGTGGAGGCTTCATACCTCGTCCTTCCTGCCCCTGGACAGACACGCCTGACCCGTCCCCTGGTGGCCTCTCCCCCTCTGTCCCCAGGTTAGTGCCGCCTTCCTGGGACCAGTGTCCTGCGCTGGGGCTTGAACCCCAGTCTGCGTCCCCCAGAGCCCGGGACCGCGCCTTTCATTCCGAGATGTAGGAAGATCTGGAAAGACTGGCTGAGCCCATTTCCTGCCGGTACTTGAGCCGTGAGCTTTGTGCCACAGCTGGGGGCTCCGCAGGCTCTGCTGGGCGGACTGAGGAGGAAACCTCCTCCAGGAGCCCCGTCCGGGGACGCCCTTGGGATCTCGGGGGCTGGGCACGGGCTGTCTGCTCCCTTTGGACAGGAAGGAAGGGGTGGCCCAGTGTGTGGCCGAGACCTTTTATCAGCATCACCATCGTCGTCCTCCTCAGCTCATGCCGCTGCACGGTGCTTTAGACCAGCGACACCCTCATTGAGCCTCCATGACTGGGGCTGAGGAGCTTTACGACGGGAGCTGCAGGCAGGGCTCCCTGCCTCCTTCCGGGCCTCTGACCTCCGCGTTCCAGGCCCCTTACAGGCACCCCCTTTGCCCCGCATCTTGGGTTTCTGACGGGAGTGGATCAGATGCCCGAAGAGACCCCTCTTCGTAATTCTGCTCCGCAGCCTCCTGACTGAGATTGTGTTTCCGCGGGAAGAGGGACGTGGGGGGTTGAGAGCAGGGCCTTCGGGGTCCCCCCTCTCAGCGCCTCCTCCCACTCTTGTCCCCGCAGGTCCACCTGGCTGAGGCCGTGCTGCGGGAAGAGAGCAGCCGTGTGGCAGGTATTTTTGCTCAGTGCCAGTCTCAACAGTGTCCTGGTAGCCTGTGTAATATTGGTGGTGATTCTCCTGACCCTGGAACTGCTAATAGATATAAAGCTCCTCCAGTGTGAGTAGCAAGAGGGGTCCTGTGCCAATACTATGATGTCATGTTCCCTGTGCACCCACCAGGGGTCCCCCAGCAGCGACCCCGCAATCGCCCTGTGTGGCCGCTCCCGTATCCTCCCAGCATTCCACCACCCGAAACCGATCAGAACATGGTGGGGACCCCTGCATGCACTTTCTTTTATTCCCATTGGGAGTTTTCTGGGTGGGAACTTTTGTAGCTTGAAGAGAGTTCCCACGTGTGGAGGCATCTCCCCTTGTAACTGACAGCAGCCGCCACAGGGACGTGCGCTTCCTTGTGTTGCCCACGTAAGTGACCCGTGAGAGGGGCGAGCCTGAAGGCACCCCGTTTACAGACGGAGTGAAGATCCGGAAAATCAGCCCCAAGCGAGAAGTCCTCCAGCGGGGACTTCAGGCCCCAGGCCAGTTACGGGCAGAGCCAGCGGGCCTCCCACCGTCGTCCCAGCTGTTGGTCCCGGTTCCGGGTGCGTGGAGGCCCACAGCGTGTCTGCTGGACATCCTGGCTGCAGGGCTGCCAGAGCAGGGGGCCCAAGTAGGTGCCCTGGGGAGGGGGCTGAGTCTCCTGGTGCCCACAGTCCCCAGGTCAGAAGGTGGGTCGTTCAAGGCCACAGACAACAGATGAGATTATTCCCCCCCAGGGATTCCTTTCCTGCCTTTGGCCACACCCAGGACCGCAGACCAGTCACCCCAGAGCTGGGACTTGTTTCTGAGGCGCCTCCAGGCCCTGCCCTAGAGCCTCGGGTTCAGGGCTCCTTCCCAGGCCCACAGCCGCCCCGACAGGGAGGGGGTCCCGTCAGCTCCCTGGGTTCCAGTCAGAGAATCTTCAGGCGCAAGGTGGCCAGCACGGCGTACACTCGCCCTGTCTTCAGTTACACCACGCGGTGGGCTCCCCCCCTCTCCCCCTGCGCGCCCACCCGTCTGCTTTTTACGAGGTCTGCCCACAGCGAGTCTCTCTCCCTGGGGTGGGCTGACAGGCACCGAGTGGGGCTGAGGGCCTGGCCGACCCTGGAATGTGGCTTAAAATGAAATCTCCAGGAGATTGGCTTTGGTGGGAGATCCAAAGCAGCTCATAAAAGGCATCTTAAATCCCATAAAACACAGACTTAGAGCTCTTCTGAAGCAGCCGTAAAAAGGCCCAGGAATTCATTGGAGAAACAGCGGGGAGAGGGTTTGTTTTCGGAATCAGCGGAGGTCCTCTCAGAGCCCGGGCCTCCCTCCTCCCACGAGTCTTCCTGTGGCCGAGATGGAAGACGGGCGTCTCCGGGCTCCTTTTTAAGGGTCACGTTGGCCCAACGCCAGGGGAGCCCGAGTCCCCCACCTGGAGCCTAGGATCGCAGCCCTCTTCCCACCACCCCCACTCCAGACCCGGGGTCTGCCACCCCAGAGTTCCCCAACCTCAGAGCTCTGGGGGAGGTTGTGGGGTCCACCTGCCCCTGTGGTGACCCTGAGCCGAGTGCGGGCCCCGCTGTGGCCCAGAAGGGAAGCAGCACCGGTTCCCAGCGGCATCCTGTGCCCGCTTAGGCCCCACTGCCCGGCTGTCCTGCCAGCATCTCTCCTACGCCTGTCCCCCGGGGAGCACCCTGCACCCCCGTCTCCATCAGAGCCCACCTGGCCTGCCCCCCAGGGAGCACCCTGCACCCCAGTCTCCATTGGAGCCCCCTGGGCCTGGCACCTGCTTCGGGCCCACCACCTGGTGAATGTGCCCTGCACGGTTGGAGGCTGACCTGGCAGCTGGTGCCTCTGGAGCTGGTGCGGGTGGCAGGGGTGGGAGCTGGCATGGCGGCTGTTCCTCGCTGGCACCCTGGCTGCTGGAGCCCCTGGGCAACGTGGCAGACCAGCCACAGGCTCTGCCACTTATGGGGGGCTGGCCTCCCCCAGCCCCCGGCTCCCTCTTCCAGTCCTCCTTGCAGCCTGTTCCCCTGAAACAGCCTGGCCGACACCACCACCTCCGCCTGCAGAGTGAAAAGTCAAAGTGAGGGGCCTCAGTCCCCACTCACCTGTGGCTCTGGGGCTGATTGTGGGCCGTCCCGGCAGCTCATCCAGACTGACAGGCCACCCCGGGTCCGAAAGCCCCATGTTCCCCGAAGCCCCTGGAGACTGCAGGGCTGAGCTGGAACCCCAAGAGGCGGCCAGGGGTAGCGGGGGCGTGTAGAGGAAAGCATGGCCTGGCGGCCCACCCCTCCACCCCCTCAGACACCGCCTGACTCCATCCAGACCTGAGCCTTCGCGGCGGCTGGACTCCTCCCGATGCATCCACGTCCTCGCTCCTGACACGGCCTGTTCCTGTGTCTGTTGCAGTTTCCAGCGCCTTCCAGTTCGCCGGCGTCATCCACTGGATCAGCCTGGTCATCCTCTCCGCGTTCTTCTCCGAGGTGGGCCCTGGGCTCCTCTCCGTCCTGGCGGGGGGCTGTGGGAGCGGATGGCCCAGGGGCACTGACGTGTGGGAGCAGGACCCCAGCCCTCCCTCTGCCTGCGCACATTCCGGGCAGCTCCCAGGCTGTGTTTGAGGAGGGGCTGCAGGCAGGGTCTCCCAGGAAAGTGAGAAGACTGGCTTCCTGCTGTGAGCGTGGCGGTCTGAAGGCCTGGGGAGTTACGTATGGAAATCCAGTTCTCCTAGCAAGTCCGCTCACCTCTCTGTCTCTCTCTCCCTGTCTCCCTCTCTCTCTGTCTCTCTCTCTCTCTCTCTCTCTCTCTCTTCCTGTCTCTCTCTCTCCCTGTCTCTCCCTGTCTCTCTCTCTCTCCCTATCTCTGTCTCTCTCTGTCTCTTTCTCTTTTTCTGTCTCTCTGGCGTCCAGAACCCTGGGTGTAGGGTGGGTGTGGGGTATGTGGGCAGCATCAGTGAATCACAGATGACTCTCCTGCAGCCTGTGGAATGGACAGGTGAACCCAGGGCCAAGGGTCAGACTTGGGGGCAGATCCTCGGGGTCCCGGCAGCTCTCCGAGGTCAATGTCTTGGAGGTGCCTCAGCCTCAAAGGAGTGCGGCTCCCAGCTGCTGCCCCTGAGTGCCCTGCCCACCAGCTCCATGCAGACCTTGGAGAATGTGCCCTGTGTCTGCTGCCAACAGAAACGTGTGATCAGTTTCTGAGGTTCTTCCTGCGGTCCCTCCGCTGTGGTTTATTGTCTTTGCAGGATTTATTGCCTCCGTCCCGGCCTCAGATGGGCCCCTGAAACAGACAAGCCCCACCCACTCCCCCCAGGCTTCCAGGGGCAAAGTGGGGAGGATGGGGGGCTGGGAGAATGGGGGCACCCTGACCTTGGACCTGGTAGAAGACAGGGTGGGGTGCAGCAGTAACGGGGTAACAGGATAACAGAGAATAACAGGGGAGCCCCACCTCCCCCGTGCACCCCGTCCTGCATGAGCAGAGGGGCTGGTGCATGAGGACCACGTGCTCCCTCGAGGGTGTGTGTCCTGCTCGCAGGGACTGGGCCCCTCTGGTGAGACGGGGCCTGGGTAGGTGCTGGGGGAGGGGGTGATGTTCCCAGGACTCCCAGACGCTGAGGGGGAGGCACTGAGCCTGGGTGTGGAGCCGCCTCACAGAGGTGACCTGGAGCCGAGGCCAGAGGGACAGAAAGCCCTTCACCAGGTGGCGGAGGGGAAAGCGTAGGCTGAGCTGCTGTCCCCAGAAAGCCAGCAGCCCGAGCAGGCGGGGCCTCTGCCTCTTTGGGGAGGACCGCTGGGGGCTGGGGGGACCCACACTCCCCCGGCTGCCCAGCCCCTATGGGAGACGCCCCAGCACCACAGCTGTGCACCCACAGCCTAGTGTTTGGGGAGAGGAAAAGGGGGGAAGAGCCTGACCCCTGACGGGCACAGCCCGGAACTTGTACATAGAACGTGGTCGCGTGGGCACTGCTGACTGGGAAGTGTGTCTCCAGCAGAAGCTGCAGTGACTGTGCACGAAGGAGGGGAGACGGGGAGGGACTCACGGGAAGGCCCCCCCCCCAGAGGTTGGGCCAAAGGGGAGAAGCTTGCCCGTTTGTCCCTTGGCAGGTGGCATGACGGTGCCTGAGCTGCCCCTGGAGAGGGGGCTTCGGAGCTTGTGCTGTGGGCCGGGGAGCCCTGAGGACATGAGCGAGGGGCTGGCACCCTCATGGGCACTGGGTGGTGGGGACGGCTTCCCGTGCTGGACAAGACTCCAGGTCCGGAACCTCCGTGGGGCAGGGCCGTCACCCACCCCTCCTGTGTCTCCCTCAGACTGTCCTCCGCATCGTGGTGCTTGGGATCTGGGACTACATCGAGAACAAGATCGAGGTGAGGCCAGGGTCCCCGAAGCCGCCCCCTGGGGCCGAGGCCAGTCACACGCTGCTCCCCCACCCTGGACGCGGGTCCCCCGCGAGGGTGGGCGGAAGGGAACAGGAGAGAGTTCCCAGTAAAGGGGTCTAAACAGTCCCCACACAGTCCTGCAAAACTTTAACTTATTCTTGAATCGTTTTGAAACGTATTTTAAAACCAGCGGGTGCCGTCTGATGGCCCCGAGGTGGGGAGCTGAGCGGAGACTGGGATGTGCTGGGTCGGGAGGCGGGAGGCCTGGCTGTCCCACGGCAAGGCCACGGCGGCGTGTCTACTGCCCACCTCCTTGCCTCCCACCCATTTTTAGCTTCTTTCTCTGAGCAGACAGGCTTGCCTTGAGGTCTCAGGAAGGCTGGAGCTGCAGGGGCCGAATCACAAGGCTGGGACCCGCCGGTCCTGGGTCTCTCTCTCTAGAACAGAGAACAGAGATGCGAGAACAGAGATGCGGGGCAGGCTCTGGGCTCCAGCTGCCCAGGGAAGGGAGGGGCCGTGGGGCTGCAGGCCCAGCCCAGAGGGAGGGGAGGCTGGAGCAGCCCAGCCCCTCTGAACGAAGGACCAGCTGGGGGGGTGGAGGTCACTGGAGGGAGCGAGCT